GTGAGCTCGGTGATTGAATGGGTGACGGTGGCCCATCTGAGACACACGCGCTGCATTACGCATACGTTCTTCCTTGCACTTCAGTAGCATGCCATAGAGCCGAATGACATATGTATGAGAATGCAAACTGTTCGAAAAGCGTAATTTCGAATAGTGAGACTGACAACTGATGTTACTGAGATGCTTCCACACGCCGAAAGCGTGTGCCCTCCGCCTGCTCTGTATGTGTGCATTACCTTCTCGAAGGCTAGTCAGGTGGCTGCTTACTTCTTTGCGTTGGCTGCCAGCAAGGCAAGCAATAGATACTGCTTTCACGCTGATTATGGTAAAATGAATTCAAATTTCTCGTAAGGCCTGTCATAAAAATCAGTTTAAATGCGATGAACTGGCGAAATTATCAGTGCGGGGTTCGGTGCAACTTTGTGAGCAATCCGTCCGAACTATGCACGGCACCGAGGAATAAGCAGCTGTGTAGACGGACACGATCTGCCAGTCGCCTTTCCTCACAAACGAAAAGTAGGATGGGTGGGCTGCGAAAGATTAATATATGTATTCTCCTCTTCACAAAACAATCAAGCGGCAACTAGTGATATTTAGCATGCAACAAACAATAATGAAGCACAGAGCCACCGATAAAAACTGCTCATATACTTTCCTGAAGCAACGTTTTGTTGCATTACTTAATTTCGAGTTTTTAGCAAACGAAGCGAGACATAGGCTGCGTGCAACATATGAGAATATCCATGTAGCATCACTAACTTTCATACCACTTATTCGGGCAACGTTGATGTCCTTGGCGACAGATGAAGCAAAGCTGGCTAAAGATCAGCCAGATTCGGGCCGAAGACGAAACGACAGCCGGTCAAAGTTAGCATGATGTAATGCAAAGAAATGGGACAAGACAGCGCAGTTCTGAAGAAAAGGAAAACTGGAAAAGAAGCAGGAGGAAAAGAAAACAGAAAGGGAAAAGCATTGAAAAACTCAGGTCATGAGACGGTTTGACACTAAATTATAAAGTCAAGTAAAATTAGATGGTGTACCTAGCAATTCCCCCTAAATCTGCACCATAACCACTACAAAATAAGCCATCAGCTGCAGTGTTGCACTCGGGAAGAAAGTTGGAAAGGAGGGGGACATGAGGGCGGGGGGTGGCCGATCGAAGAGGCCAGACGGGCAAGGGTAGCA